CATTTTGAAAATAATTTTATTCTTTCTGTTAAAAATGGTTCATGTTCATTATCTAAAAATTAATAACAAAAAATACAAGGAAGAAAATAAAAACAGCTTACACCAAACATCCCCTTCCCCACAAATACAGAAGGAGGGAGGGAAAAAGGAGGGAGATCGTACTAGATAATACTTTTTTGCAAAAAAGTATTACAATTTAATTGAACTCTAATTAAAGTGAAGTGAAGCTGCACGACTTGCTGAATTTTGGGAATTGCTTCCTCCAAAGAAGAGAAATTAGTTTCTAAAAGTGTAAAAAATGTATTATGAAATGCACAAAGGGTTTGGAGTCATTGAGGTAGTTTTCTTGCATTACATGTTTTAAGTTTGTTCTATGCTTTGGACCCGGCAATTGTTTTAACCAGGACACACAGACCTGGAAATGACTATCATGAAAGAATAAGTTTATACTCACAGATTCCTCAGAACAGGAGGCACAGCACACCATCCAGGGCCACTTGGGGAAGGACCAGACTCAGGAGGCAGAAGCTGTGAGGGAAGAGCACGGCCCAGGGCATTTACTGGGGTTCTCAGGGGAAGGAGCAGTTGAGGCAGCGTAGGCATCCTGAGTAAGTTTAGGATTGGATAGGTTGAATAATTTTGACAGGCTCTGGGCTACAGGGGTGGTCCCTAGTCATCCAGTATCTGGCCCCGGGGTGATTTAGGGATGGGGGTAGGGGGTGGAGAATATTGGCTTGGTGTGTCAGAATTTTATAAAGGAGATGGTTGGGGGTGTGAGTTCTGGATTGGTTGGTTTGTATTTCAAAGACACACTTGAAAGGAAAGTTCTTTCCTGCCTCTAGGAATTGCCTAAGGGGGCGATCTCTCCAGGATTAAGGCCCCAAATGCCAGAGCATCAAGAATACAGAAATTAAGAACATTTAGTCACCACAGTGGTACCCACTGACTTCCTGCAGGAAAAGAAGAGAACCGCAGCATTTCTTTGCACCTTAATGTTTCTTCCTATCTTTCCATTTCTACCTCTACACATGTTGAATTCTTCTTTGTATATCGTACAGGTTATAACATTTACATTCCCTTTCGTAGCCATGGTTTCCACAGTTGCTTAGTCTTAGCTTTACATGTAAAAGGATTTCATGCTCACCACCAGTCCCTTTACCACGGCTCACCATTTCCAAGTTTATTATTTTTATTTATGTCTTGTTTCTCTGGATTGCATTTTCCAATAATTTTCCTAGAAGGGTTCAGAGGTGCTATGTTTCCTGAGTTCTAGCATGTTTGAGAATTTTATCTTGAAGGAAAGCTTGCATGATTATAAAATTCTTGGGTGACCCTTTTTCTTAGGACTGTGTAGATGTTGTTCCACTGTATCCAATGTTGTAAAGAAGACTAGGACCAGCTGATTTCCAGCACCCCTAAGCCCTCACCTTCCCCTGTAGATGTCTGTCTTTTTTCTGTGAGGATAGCTAGGGAAACATTTCTATACCTTTTTTTTTTTTTTTTTTTAAACATGGTGTGCTCTGTCAACCTGTGCGTTCAACTTTCCCCTCAGTGGAGGAAAATTTTTCTTCTGTTATATCTTTGAATATGTTCTTTGTTCCATTCATTTTGTTCACTGTTCAAGAGACAACATAATTCATAGATTGGTCATCAGTGCGTTAACTCCCAGTCCATTATTTCATCTCTATTTACTTCAGTCTTTCTTTCCTTCTTTGTATTCTTTGTGATCACTCAATCTCCCCCACCCTCCTTACTAATTCAGTTTGAAGCTATTTCTGTTTATTCCATCATTTCCAATATATTGGTTAGTTTTTTATTTTCTAATTTCTTAATCTGCTATTTTGATCTTCAGTTTCCTTAAATAGCAATCTTCTTCTTCCATCTTTGTGTGATCTTCTCGTCCCAGCTCTGATTTCTTATTTTTATTTTTTAGGTTCTAATTTCTCCTAGAGTCAAAGCATTTGTGCTATATATTTTGCACAAAAGTGTCCTTTTGCATTTTTTATTGTGTTTCTTGCAGCTATATTTCCATCCTGACATCTGTCTCCTGCATGTTTCCCTTTTTCCTTCCTTTCTACTTTCCTTCCTCTTTTGACTACAGTATTTTTATATAGTTACCATGCCATTTATTTTCATTTTATTTCTTTTTGGTCTGGATATTTGTACCTTGATTTTCTCTTTACCCAGATATATTGCATAGATTGATTTTTGTTGATTTCTTCCTACCTTATCTGAGATCTCTTTGTCTTCCCTTCAGTGCTTTAGTGAGAATTATGTATTTTGTGTTTGTCTGTTTTGTTACAGATTGGGTGGTGTGGAAAAGGGGAAGTTCAGATAGAGCTGTGTGTTTGTAGAATTTGTTTCTGTTCTTTTTTTTTATAACTTCGTTTTAGTCTAAAACTTGAGTTTATTTTAACAAATTGGGGACATACCTTATTCTCTTGGGTGGGTAGTAGTGGCTTTTAGATTGTTTCACCAATTTGGGGTAGAATTGTGGAGACAACCTGCCCGGGTGTTTATTTTCCAGACTTGACCCCAACTCTTCACAGCAGCCATTCACTCTCCTGCCCGTAAAGGAGGGAAAAGGTAGACAAAATCCAATGGATTAGCCATTGTTTCTCAGGAGTAGGGGGAGGGTGTGGTGGTGGCATCAGTTTGGGCTTTCCATGTGTGTCCTGCCACTCACTCCATTGGAGGGACTTGTTTTATTTACTTCATCTTTGGTTTTCCTTTCTGGTAAATCCCTCCATATTGTTCAAGATAATTAACTCCGATAGAATCCTGTGCAATCATTCTGCCTTTCCTCTCGCCTCTTTATCAGTAAGAAAAGCAAAATGGCAGGCAGCCCAGGCAGTTCTTTCCTCTCTTTGAAGTGTTAGTGCAGTGGAATGAAGAACCTGCTATTCTAGGGCAACTCTCTGAATTTCCTCTGCCGGCTACCTACTCGCCCCTCCATCAACTTCCCTTCCCATCTGTGGCATTGCACGTTTTGTCAGAAGCTTCCCTCTCACATCTTCCTTTCAATACTGATTCTTTGGGGGAGGAAGAAAGGGTTATCGGGTGGGAGCTCTACGTTTCTTCATAGCAATTTCTTTCTCTAGTCATTTTTAAAGACTATCTCCTTTTCCTATATTTGAGAGTTGCTGGTATATTTTTGATTGGTTTAAAATTATTTGTTAATTTGGTTGAATTCAGGAGGAAGGTGGTTGGTTCTGGAATCACTAATTCTGGTATACTCTTTAGGTACCATTTTAACAAGGGCTAGAAGCCCTGTTTTTTTGTTTGTTTGTTTGTTTGTTTTGTTTTGTTTTGTTTTGACTCAAACTAGGCAAAAGGCAAAAGCCCCTGGTGTGAATTTCGCTTGATTGTTAGACCTTGTGTGTTTCAGTCAATCATATAAATTTATTTCTCAGCAGCCTGCTGCTAAATTGGCTCTCAGCTGGGCGTGTAGGGATCCACAAAGATAGAGTGGGGCCAGGGTGCCACAAGGTTTACCATGCAAATGTCAGAGAGCAATAAATGCCAAGACAGAACCCAAGGAGGTAGCTAAGAGAACTTCTAGCCCAATATCCAAAAAAGGATTGTGAGTGCCCAATCTCTGACAGCTGGCCCTCCAGCTTTTGCTTGGATATCTTGAGTACCAGGGAACCAATGAACACCATTTTGTTACTGGAAAGCTCAAAGTATTTAAACGTTCTTTACCTTGAGCCAAATTACATCTCCTCTTCTGTCTGTGTGATCTTCTTGGTGAGGCTTCTATTCACATGATTCCCAATTTTAGCTCTTTAGATGACAACCACAACTGCCTGTAGTCCTGACCTCCAGTCCTAGTCTGTAGTCTAGACGACAATCCTGGAAAATGATCAAGCAGGTTAGAAAGCTGCTAGGTTAAAACCTTTGAGATATAGTAAAACACGGATAAATATAAAGTGCTGCATGCAAGAAACTGTTGTACAAGATGAGGATGCTTGATCTGGCTCAAGTAAAGAGTTTTGAGAGTTTTGCTTAATCCTAAACGTACTCTGAGCCCAGAGTCAGACACAGCAAGTTTATGCTGCATGGACAACAAGCATTGATGCCAGGAACATTTGCCAATGTTCTCCTATGCTAACAGCTTGTTAGAGCATGTCTGAGCCTCTGGGACAGCAACAGACTAGAATGTGTGCAGGCATGGGATGAGATCTAGAGACTGCGGGCCACAGTGGACCATAATGAGCTGCTGGAAACAATGGAGCTACAGCCTGGAGAAGTGAGGCTGTGGAGAGGCACAAGAGCTGTCTTCAAACAGGGAAAGATTTATGGGAGAGAGAAGGCTTAGTTTGTTCTTTCTGCCTTCAGAGCATAGACCCAGGATAGTTTTAGGAGGTTAAAAAAACAACAACAACAACAACAACAACAAAAAGAAACCGCTGTTCATTGGCTCTGTTGCCTGGGAGGCATCTATATTTCTGAGGTCTGTAAAAGATTTAATGAACTTAGTTTTACTTTGGAAAATTTCTCATCTATGGGGGATGGAACCAGAAGCTAATTTCTAAATAGAACACCAAAGGTAGAACATTTGAATTCATCAGAGGAAGAATAATTGGACTACAGGCCTCATGAGAAGGCTATCAAAGAAAGTGGGTTTTTCCAAACATTATAGCCAAAGAGCCAACCAACTTCCAGTTGCCAGCTTGATACTGGAGGGAGCCATAGGAAGAACATAGAATTTGGAGCAGGTACACCTTGATTTGAAGTCTGGCTGTGCCATCTACTACTTCGGTGACCTTGAGCAAGTTACTTAAACTTGCCGAGTCTTGGTTTACTCACATGTAAAATAAGACGATTAAGTTCTGGGTCATTGTGAGGATAAAGTTAGATGACAATTATAAAGCCCTTGGCTTTATAACTAGGTATTTAGAAATGTTGAAGCTCTTCCTTGCCTCCTGAAGCTAGTTGCCAATTGTACTACTGTGATTTCAAAGAGACATTTTATAAGTAAGCATTTTTTCCCCCCTCAGGGCTTCCTTCTGACCTCTCCTCAGCTATTGAGGAAGACGAATCAAAGACTGGCTTAGATGTCATGCCTAATATTTCTGATGTGCTGCTGCGCAAACTGCGTGTCCACAAGAGTCTCCCTGGAAGGTAATATCAGGACGGGGGTTGCTGAAGACCCTGTACTAAGTGGCTGGGTGTTGGATTCTAGGTGGGACACGAGAACGAGTCTTGATTCTTGACTCCAGAAGGGCCAAAGTCCAGTGGTCCAGGAAGGGATAATGCATCCAAAACAAAAAGAGTAATGAAAGGCCAGGCTAGATGTTCTCAACTCAAAGAGCAGGTAGGGTTCTTAGGTGGACACAACACAGGAGGGCATGAGGGTCCCCAGAAGCTCATGGCAGCAGAGGACAGGTGATGGGCTTCAGACCCTGAAACATGGGTGTCAATCCCAGATACACCAGTTACCTGGGAGAGTCTAGGTCTGATATCTGCACAGCTGGAGATATGGAACATTGGGAACCACATGAAGAAGGATTGTTTGGAAAATCTACCAGGCCTCTTACATGCATGGGGAGACAGTGCCTTTGCTTTCCAAGCCTCTGCTTCATTAACTATGCAACAGGAGTCGTAAGTTCTCCATCACTGGTAGGATGCAGTGCTGGCTAAATGTGATCATGTGTGAGCAGGGACTTAGGATGGTATTAGTACATAACAGGCCCTGACAACTGGGTTGAAAAATGAACAGTTTGGAGTATAAAAGAGAGAAGCTAGGGGACTACTGAGCAAGAGAGGTGGGTGGGTGCCTGCAGGTGAGGTCTCCAGCCCAGCCAGCAACTGGGAGACTGAACAGTCGGGGGAAGGGAAGGCCATTAGGGAAGCAGCCAAGCATAACAGAGCTCCGGGATTTGGGGGTACACGTGAAAGGAGAAGGAATTTTGCCCAGTGGGTGTGATGTGTGCAAATTCACACTTTAATCACCTAAAACACAGAGTCATCAGGGCAGTACTCAAAAGGCCTTAGCGACTAGATAGACATCAGGAAAAGTACTAAAAACAAGTGAGAAACAGGCTGCACCCACAGCTGGAGGAGGGCGTAGGTTGGGCCAGTTCACCTTGTGGAAGGTAGAGAGAGGCATTCAGAGGCAGGAATCAGAGGAGAAATACCCCAGTGCATTGCGGATTACAGAGCATGTTTGCATACTGTGTGTCTTTCGGCGTTTGTGACAAGCCAGTGAGGCAGAAAAGGAGGATTTTGCTTTGTCTTAGTGAGGGAACAGAGAGGCAAAGTGACATGCTGGCAAGTGACAGAGTGAGGGACTGAACTCAGGATGGGCTCAGACCATCTATACCAGGGCCTGTCAAAAGTGCCAAAATAGTCATCAGTGCTCTTCAGTCTGCAAGGAACAGGGCTGATCAAGAGTGTGATTGGCTTCTTTCCCTTCAGTAAAGTTGAAAATAATTCATTTGATTAGGGTATACCCCCAGCTTCCCCAGGAGGAGGAGACTGGGCAGTTAGTTCTAGCTTCCTTGAGTAAATGAATAGCTACCAACTACAAACCATGGCCCAGACTGGGCCTGCACAGGCCTGCATGGTCCATGAATGTGATCAGCTTCTGAAGCTTGCGGTTCAGGCTCTCACACTGAGATCAATATATATCATGCATTGTTTTACTAGCCATGTTGTCCATCTCCAGCCTCTCTGCCCTGGCCACCAAACTGGCTCCCCTCTCCTAACCTCAGAAGAGGCTGTTTCCAACTAGGGCCTTTGGTTTGGCCTAGAGTGCTCTAGCCTTTGTTTGGGGCTTGGGATAGATGGGCACAACTGTCACGTGAGATTTGTCATCCAACACAAGGAAGCCAGAGCTTCAGGATTCTTTCCCCCAGCAGAAATAAGGAAGATTATGCTTGAGTTTTCATATGAGGAAGGAATTGGTTTCATGTCCTAGGTGGACTGTGTGAATTGAGATTGGACTATATCAAGAGTTGGATCATAGGGTCCACAAGCTGAACAGGTTCAGTAGAAAAAGCAGGTCCCAAATTAGGAACTTGGCCTGTGGTTGGTTAACAAGAGTGCAAAGAGGAAATATCACTGGATGAGGTAGCACCCAGGGTCAAACCCAACAGGAGCCATCAGCAGGCATTTAATCAACAGATATTCGTTGAGTGTCTACTCTGTGCCACACATTAGAATGAACGCACAGACATGGTCCCTGTTCTCATGCACTTACATTCTAGGTGGGGAGACAATTAATATTTAAGTAACCAAATGAATGAGTTGAGTTAGCAAAGTTGCTAGAAAGACCATAAAGATAGGACACATATCGAGAATGACATGAGAGTGAAACATGGGGTAGGAGGTCAAAGAAGGCCTTTATGATAAGATAATAACTAATCTGAGACATGAAAATGACAAAAGACAAAAAGCCATCCATTCAAAGATTTTGGTGAAGAAATTTCCAGAGGAAAAAATAGTTATTTCAACAAATGGTGCTGGGACAACTAGACAGCCACATGCAAAAGAGTTAAAGTTGGAACCCTGCCTCACACGATATACACAGATTAGCTCAAAATGGATCATAGACCTAAATCTGAGAGAAAATGCTACAAAACTCTTAGAAGAAAAAATACAAGTAAATCCTGGGTTCGTCCGTGGTTTTTTAGAGATGACAAAAGAATAAGTGACAAGATAAAAACCAGATGAATGGTACTTCCTCCAAATAAAAAACTTGCATGCTACCAACAATGCCATCAAGAAAGTGAAAGGCAACCCACAGAATGGGAGAAAATATTTGCAAAACATTTATCTGAAAAGGAACTTGTTTCTAGAATATGTAAAGAAGTCTTATAGCTTAGCAATAAAAAGATGAATAACCAATTTTTCAAAATGGGCAAGGGATTTAAATAGACATTTCAACAAAGAAGATACACAGGGTGTCACGTGAAAAGATGCTCTGTCCTTTTGGGGGCCCATGGTTCTGCCACCCAGCTGCCTACACCGGTTTACAGGGCACAGCTCTCTGCATCAGGAACTGGCCATGTCACGTAGCTTCTCTGCCTAAATCACACTTCTCTGGGTCCTCAGAGTTTTCAATTTTTTTTTTTTTTAAGGTGAGTGTGTTCTATAACAAAAAAATAGAACATGAGTCATTGAAATAGAAAAACAAGTTTGGTTCATAATTTATGAGAATATGCATTTTTCACATAATATCCAAACAAACCCAGGGGTCAGAGACAAACTCGGTTTTGATAAATCATTTGAACAGCACGTGTGTGTTCTGTGTGACAGTTACACTTACGTTGGCCTCAGAGGAAAAAGCCTCTGAGTGGGTGGGTGGGGTTGTGACTAGGATCGCAAGCAAAAGCACATCTCTGCAGCTGTTTATCCCATGTTCTGTCCTCTGCTGACTGGATGGCCATGGGGTCTTGCTGCCTCATCCTGACAGGAAGGCTCCCACAGCCCCTCCCCAGTGAGAACCAGCCCTGGCAGAGACGGCTGACCCCTACCTTTGCTCTCGGGGTCCCTCCGCACCCATCAAAGGGAGGAAACTGTGTTTCCTGAAAAGTTTATCGATGGTGTGCTCTGTTGCCAAGTCCCGTGACACTGGTGGGACCCCTCCCGGGCCTCCCCACCCCAGCGCAGGAAAGGGCCTGTGCGTTATTTACGTTGTCCGGGCTTCACACGGGCCAGCGTTAGCTACGGGCAAGAGCAGCAGCGGCAGCGACAGAGTGGGCGTGCAGACGGAGGGACTGCTTACTGTCAGACAGCCCCAGCTGTGGGGACTGCACGCAGCCAGGAGCCTCTCGGAAGGACACCTCATGTCCGCCGAGACGCCCTTGCCTGCTCTCTGATGCCAGGCTTCAGGGGTCCTCGCTGTGGAGCAGAGCTCTGGCTACTCTTTCCTACGTTTATTCTCCGGTCCACCTGCACCCTCCTCCCAGCCCTCAGAGACAGGAGGGCGGTCCAGAAAAACTATAGTGACAACTTGGGCGTGTGCAGTTTATAAAGTACTTATGCGTTTTCTTATTAATTCCACACAGCAAGCCTGTGAGTTAATGGTAATAGTTAACATTTCCTGAGTGCCTACTGAGTGTGGGTGCCATGTATTGGTGCACACACATATACACATATGTACATATGGGGTTTTTTTCTTTTTCTTTTTTTTTTTTTTTTTCTGAGACAGAGTCTCACTGTGTTGCCCGGGCTAGAATGCCGTGGCGTCATCCTAGCTCACAGCAACCCCAAACTCCTGGGCTCAAGCAATCCTACTGCCTCAGCCCCTTGAGTAGCTGGAACTATAAGGCACACCATCACACCTGGCTAATTTTTTCTATTTTTAGTAGAAACAGGGTCTCAGTCTTGCTCAGGCTGGTCTCGAACTCCTGACCTCATGCGATCCTCCCATCTGGGCCTCCCAGAGTGCTAGGATTACAGGCATTGAGGCACGGCGCCCGGCCCTGTATATATGTTTCTTACAAGACTTCCACAAGATAGATCATGATGTTCCCATTTCACAGATGAGCAAACTGGGGCTTGAGAGAATAACTTGTCCAAAGTTGCAGAGATAGCACTAGCGTCGTAAGAGTCAATATCGCACAGGTGACAGAGCACACACAAAGGGGACACTGCATCTTTTCCATCTTACCATCTCTGCTTACTCCATTCCTGGAAACAAGTGGTTTGCTGGTCATTCAAAGTCACCTTTTGGTTTATTTAACTGTGATTGGCTTCTTTCCCTTCAGTAAAGTTGAAAATAATTCATTTGATTAGGGTATACCCCCAGCTTCCCCAGGAGGAGGAGACTGGGCAGTTA